TTCAGTAAGATAGATCTGAAGTCCGGGTACCATCAGATTGCAATTCGGCCCGAGGATCAACACAAAACCGCCTTTCAAACCAGGTACGGTCTGTACGAGTTTGTGGTGATGCCTTTCGGCCTTTGTATGAATCAGATTTTTCATGACTACTTGGATAAGTTTGTCATCGTGAACCTCAATGACATACTTATTTTTAGTAAGACTGTCGAGGAGCATGTTGCACACTTGGACAGAGTCCTTAGTCTCCAGCGTCAGCACAAGTTCAAGATCAACGGTGAGAAGTGCGAGTTTGGGCGCACCCGTGTCTTGTACTTGGGTCATGAGATTTCCGCGGAAGGGTTAAAGCCCGATGACGGGAAGGTGGCCAGCACTCGTGATTGGCCACGTCCTCAATTTGTGACTGAGATGAGATCTTTCTTAGGAATGACATGCTACTATAGAACTTTCGTTAAAAACTATAGCATAATGGCCGCTCCTTTGACTGATCTGACCCGCCTTGACAACCCATGGGAGTGGACAGATGAGTGTGAGGCCGCTTGCAGACATCTGAAGCATGTGTTGACGCACTACGAGGTCTTGAAACTTCCTGATCCTGATAAGCCGTTTATAGTCAACACGGATGCCAGCCAATATGGCATTGGCGCCGTGCTTGCGCAGCAAGAGGGGCCAAAGTTGAGGCCTGTAGAGTACATGTCCAAGAAAATGTCGTCTCAGAAGTTGGCTAAGTCCACCTATGAGAAGGAACTCTATGCGGTTTATAAGGCTCTGACCCATTGGAGGCACTACCTCCTTGGGAGGTTCTTCATCCTCATGACTGATCATTAGACCCTGAGATGGATGAGAACTCAGCCTGTACTCTCTGACGCCCTCAAGCGTTGGATCGAAGTCATTGAGCAATATGACTTTGACCCTCAGTATCTGAAAGGGGAGTACAACAGGGTTGTTGATGCCTTGTCGCGTAGACCTGATTTCTCAAGTGCGCTGATTACTGAGTTCGATCTGATGGACAGTGTTACTCAGTCTTTGGTGGAAGCCTATCGCGAGGATCAGTTCATGTCTGAGATCATACGCAGACTTGAGGCGAAGGACAAGAAGACTTCTGCCGAGTTTGAATTGGTCAATGGCTTGCTGTTCCTTGAGAAGGACGGGAATAAACGATTGTGTCCCAAATAGCGAGTCTTTGCATAGTTTATTTTTAGGTGAGTGCCATGATGCCACCGGCCATTTTGGGTACAAGAAGACCGCAGCCAATCTGCTCCAGCGGCTCTGGTGGCCCACGATGATGCCAGCTGTACGTGGAGACTTGTAAAAGTTGTCAAAGGGACAAGCCACACACTCAGGCTCCTCTTGGGCTCTTGAAGCCCCTTCCGATTCCGGAACGGCCTGGTGAGAGTCTGTCCATGGATTTCATGGATACTCTAATCACCAGCAAGAGTGGGATGCGTCACATCTTCGTCATCGTGGATAGATTTAGTAAGTATGCTAGGTTAGTACCAATGCCGGAAACAGCAAAGACGGAGTATAAACAGCAAAGACGGAGTATGTGATCCGGATGCTCCAAGAGAACTGGGTTAGAGACTTTGGTTTACCAAAGTCGATTGTCAATGACATGGATGTCCGGTTTACCAGTGAGTTGTGGAAGGCCGCTGCTGCAGAGCAGGGAACTCAGTTGCAGATGCCTTTTGGGAATCACCTAGAGGCCAATGGACAGGCAGAGCAACTGAATCGTGCTGTGCAACACCTGTTGAGGCACTACATTAACTTGCTCTCATCGCCAGCCTGTACAACAATGCTGTACACATCGCCACTGGGGTGAGCCCGAACAGTTTACTACTGACTTTCAAGCCTAGACTACCCCTTGACTTTCTCCTTCCTGAGAATCAATCAACTGCTGCACCAGGTACTTTAGAGTTTGCCAACAGCTATGAACAGAAAATGCAGCAGGCGGTAGAGCAGATGCAGAAGGCACAGGCAGAAATGATAGAGTCTCAGAACAGACACCGCCGACCTTCTACCTTTCAGGTTAGGGACAGAGTTTGGGTAAAATCCTCAGAACTGGGACAGGAGTACGGGATTTCCCGGAAACTCATGCCACAGTACTTTGGACCATGGGAAGTCTTAGATATTGTCGGTACTGATCCAGATGGGCCATCTTATGTAATCCGAATCCCAAGCCATCTTTGTACTTACCCCGTCTTTCACGCCTCCAAACTTGCACCATTCAAAGAAACTAGTCAGTTTCCATCTCGCCGCTCAATGCTGCCCCCAACCATGGACGGAGAAGTGGACATCGATGATATCGTGGACCTCAGAGAGCTGCCGGTATCAAGACCAACAGGCAGGGAACGTCCTCCAAAACTGAAGCTGCACTGCCGCGTTCGGTTCCGACATCATACTGATCCGAAGGAGGACCGATGGTTTACCAGGGATGAACTCATGCAGACCGCTCCACCAGTGAGGACTATGAGAAATCTCTGCACAAAGGAAAGCACCCGATGGTCGAAGACTCTCAGAGGACTGTTGAAGCCAAGGAGGAGGGAATGCGAGGCCACTGCCTCTATGAGCCCCATTCAGCCCCTTCTTGGGAGCCTGTCGGCCGCCCTAAGTGAAGGCAGGCTCGGCGAGGCCCCTCAGGGCCTTATTTCGGCCTCTGCGCAACTCAAGGAAATTCAGGCAGTTGTGCAGCGCCAGTTGGTTGAGTGAACCCAGGCCCTGGGCTGCCTGTGTGAATGTATGTGAAGCAGGCCCTGGGCTGGATATGGATACTGGGCCAAACACAGGCCAAAGGCAGTTGGGCACATGCGACCACCTCAGGCCCAAGGCCTGTTTTCGTCGAGCTGGGCCTCAGGCTACCGGGGCCTACTGGAAGCTTCCTGGGACTGCACGCAGGCAGGCCACTTCGATATAGCAAAGGG